ATTTTGGCTGATTCTTGGCCGATTTCTGATGTATGCCAATCGGCTAGGCTGATTTTGATAATTTGCTGAATTTAGGCCGAATTTAGGCTGATTTTAGGCCAATTTTCGCATGTCTGATTTTTTTGATTTCGACCAGTGATAATAAATGAATAAAATATAATAAATAATAAATAAATAAATAACCAAATTTTAATATAATTACTTTTCTAATTTTTTGTTTAGGTATTTTCTTCAATTTTATATTGATCTGCAATTATATGCTTAATAGATCAAAAAATATTACCTGAGATAAAAGTTTTGCTTTTATCCAAATAATTACGTAATTTATTATAATCTTCTTTTGAAAAAGTATCTTTATAAAATTTTATAGCTAAATCATTTTCTGTTAATCCTGTTCAATACTGAAATGAATTAAATTACAAAACTTTAAAATATATATTCTTTAAAAATCTTTTTAGTATAAATGGCAATATCATGGTTAATTGTAAAAAATATAATATCATAAAGCTATTAATATAAGATATCAGATTTGGCAGATTTTACCAAACTTGTGAATATTTAAAAGATTTTTAAATAATAATAAATTCTAACTTTCTTTCTAGTAAAAATGCTTTTATTATAATCCTAAAAAGTTTTAAACCATTTCCAACTATAAGATAATAAATATCTTGTAATAACTAAAGGCATTAATTGATCAAGTATTGCAGCTATAATTATAATTTATATTCAGCTATAATTTTTTTACACTCTGTAATTATTAACATTTTGAAAATCTCTTCAAATTATTTATCATTTAGTGATAATAGTAAAAGATTAATTGTAAATCAAAACTATCTGATATTAAGAAATCTTTAGTCATATTGCATATTTGATATCTTTTGTAAGCATTATATCTTTTAATTTTGATTAAATCATTGCTTTATAGTAATTTAATAGTAATATTACCAAGATTTATAAATATAAAACATTCATTTTTTTAGATATTCATAATCTTTTTTTCTCTAATACTTTCATTTCTATAATAAATAGCTTGATATTTCATTAAAAGAGCCATAGAAAAAACAAATTCAAAATAAAATAAATCTTAAAATGTATTCTTTTATTAAATAACATGTTACTTAAAGAAAGATAAAACAAAAGAAACAAAAAATAAGTAAAAATAAGAAACTAGTAAAACAAATTAAGCAAATAAAACTATTGAACTTACCAATCTGATACTGGTCAAAATCAAAAAAATCAGATATGTAAAAATCAGCCTAAAATCAGCCTAAATTTGATAAATTATCAAAAATCAGTCTAACTGATTATTATACATCAGAAATCGGCTAAGAATCAGCCAAAATTTGATCTATCTTATTTATAGCTGATTGGCATAATTATAGCCGATTAATATATATCAAAATTCAATCTATCTTATTTATAACTGATTAGAATGATTGTATTATTCTTTAGGTATGATAGATATTATTGCTCCTTAAAAATAATGGTATTATCATTCTTTAGATATGATGGTATTATCGTACCTAAAAAATGATGCATTTATCATACTTTAATATGACAATTTTATCATTCTTAAGAAATGATAGTATTATTATTTCTTATGTAAGATGGTTTTATTGTACCTAAGGAATAATGGTATTATTGTATCTAAAGAATGATGCATTTATTGTTTTTAAGGAACAATTGTTTTATTGTTCTTTAAAGATGATTGTTTTATCATTTCTTAGGGATAATTGTTTTATTGTTCCTTAGAGATGATTGTTTTATTGTTTCTTAGAGATGATTGTTTTATTGTTTCTTAGAGATGATTGTTTTATTGTTTCTTAAAGATGATGGTTTTATCATTCTTTAGATATGATTATTTTATCATTTCTTAATTAGTAAAACAAGATATATCGTTGAATAGCATGGATATAAGCTCCTTTTTTTCTAAAAGTTAAAGTATTGGCTGATAAATTATTTTAATCTATACTAATAGATAGTTTAATCTACACTTTGGTATAGCTAATAATCTCAAGAAACTTAAAGTTTACGTGAGAAAGACATTAAGTTATGTTTGATGTATATTTCTCTAACACTTTTGATTATAACATTTTTTTTTGATTTTGAATTATAATTGTTCTTTATTTTTTCTGATAGAATCCACAGTTGAAATAACTCCTAAATAAGAATATGTGAAAATATATAATCCATTTAATAAAATTAAATATTGTGATCTAGAGATTAAGGAAATATTGATTGTTCCTGTAATGAACTTTGAATTAATTAAATAGATCAATTGGTTGATCAATTAATTCAATTTTAATAGTATACGTATCGATATAGTAAAGTATTACAACATAATTTTGTGATGCATTCATTCAAAGTTATGAAAAGTAATATACATTCAATCAGTAAAATAGTGAATTTTAATACAGATTTGTAAGATTTTATTAAAGCAATAGATTGTGCTTTAGAGTATATCTTATTCAAAAATTATAACCTTATATTCTTATTTCAGTATTAATATGCATGAAATAGAAATGCTATAAATGATGATAGAAAATCTTTTTAATTATAATAGTATATTTGGAAATTTTCTTTTCATGATCAACCGGTAAGTGATGAATTTTTTTGAGTTGAGTTATAAATATCTTTAGAATGCAAATTCATTCATTTGTTATTTTTAATTATTGATTATAAAGATTTAACTATTTAACTTTAATTGTAATACATTGACTTTTATCATGTTGATATATGGTAAACACTAATTTTTTTTAAGTTTATAATTTTATTTAATATAATTTCTTAATTATATAGGTATTCTAATAATATATCAAGGAATTAAACAAGTATTTACATGATATCTCTCAGAAATGATCCATTTAATCATGAAGCACTTGGGACATCATCTTACTCATTGTTTTCTATATTCTGTAAAGTATTATTTGAAGTATTCTTTTTTTTGCTATTTATCAAAGCTTAAATAGATGAATATATTTGTGATTAAGACAAGACATTATTCATTATAAAAATAACCAAATATATATTTAATTATACAAGGAGACCCATTAATAATGTTTTATTTAATGTTAATAAAAGTTTCTATTAATGGATCTCATAATGTTTCAGTTCAAATTGACAGTGAATGATTTCAAATATCTTGATTTATTTAATATAATTTGTATGGTAATTTATAACATGACACGGTTAAAAGGAACTATCTAATATTTATTCACTCTTTTTTATAAATAATAAAGACTGAATCAAACGTTAAAAAACATTTATGTCCAAATTTTATTCATTTACATCTTGTGATCAAAGTTCTTCAAAGTGCAATTTTTCAACATAATGCTATGAATTTTAAAGCTGTGTATTGCAAGTATTGTATAATTTATTTCATTCAGTTAATACATGAGAATTACATGTAAAAATAAAAAACTGACATATAAATCCTGTTTTAGGTTTAAAAGTAAATACTAATTAGTGATTTGCTACATTATATGATTGTATGAAAAATACAATAAATATGAACGTACAGGTACTAGGTATATTTCTTTATTATTAAAACGTTGATTTACTATCGATTTTATGGCAACCTTCCAAAATCTTAATTAATCATTTATTTATTTAATTCTGTAGGTAACTTTTGTATTAAACTATTCAGGAATCTTTTGTAACTATACGTTTAATATTTTTGTAGTTGCTTCAATTCCTAAATAAAATTATTTGTTTCGTCCAATATTCCATAGCCTCGTCCCAAACAAATGATACTGAATTAATTTTATAGAAATTTTAAATCAATAGTAAGTAAAGAAATTAAAAATTTTATTGGATAATAATATCATAAGATAAATACATATTGAAGAAAAATAGAAGCAAAACTATCTAAAGCTAAACTAGCAGAAGCACTTTAACATAAGGCAAGCGAACTAGATTTGCCGTCAATTATATAAAATGAAAGAATACTTCTTTCTATATTTTTGTTCTTAATTTAAGGAGTATATTCACTGAATCACTTTAAATAAGGCCATTTGTGTATATATATATATTTTTATTGAAGAAAAAAAATAAAAATAAAATAAAAATAAAGGAAGTGAACGTAATTCTAGAAAAGCACAATCATTGTAATTAGTCAAATTAATCATCAGAATAAAGGCGATGCTCATTTGATTTAAAAATATCCATTACCTCTTGATAATAATCATCATTATTGTTGTGTTTCACTTCTAAATTTTCAGTCCTAAGCGTACGACTTTCGCTAAGCTTTACCTATTATGATTAAATGAATTCATATAGAAGTATAAATACATATAGAAGAAGAAACATAGGAAAACTATCTGAAGCTAAACCAGCAGAAGCACTTCGACGCAAATTGGACATAGGACAAGCGAACCCATATTTTCTACTTGCTTTGCCAATAGTACGAA